CATCTGAGTTTCTTTCCTTTAAACACCAGAATTTAGAGCAAATTCCACAATATAATGAGTTAAGGACTAGGCCTTATTAGTAAGAGGGGTAACATGAGAGTAAAGATGAGCAAGAAAAGAAAGAACACAGGACTGTGTGTGGTGGTGCTCACCTGTAATCCCAGTGGCTAGGGAGGCTAAGTCAGGAGGATCATGAGTTCAAAACCAGTCTCACCTACTTAACAAGGTCCTGATCAAATTAGTGAGGCCCTGAGCAACTTGGTGAAACCCTGTCTCAAAATAGAACATAAAAAGACCTAGAGAGGGGCTGGGGTTGTGGCTCAGTGGTAGAGTGCTTGCCTAGCACATGTGAGGCATTGGGTTCAATCCTCAGCACCACATAAAAAAATAAATAAATAAAGTTATTTTTTTAAAAAAAGAAAACTTAAAAGTAAAAAAGAGGGGTTCTGGGGATGTGGCTCAGTGGTTAAGCACTCCTGGGTTCAATTCCTGGTACACAAAAAAAAGAACACAGGCACCCAACCCTCTCCCCACCTGTCCTCCCATCATCACACAAAGAGAGATTCATGGATTTTCATGGAGGGAAAACATTCTTCCTCTACCCCCGTCATTCCCCCATTTTACCCTCAAGTGTGAATGAAGACATTCTTATTTATTTATTTATTTATTTATTTATTTTGTACTGGGGATTGAACCCAGGGACGCTTAACCACTGAGTCAATCACCAGCCCTTTCTTAATATTTTATTTAAAGACAGGGTCTTGCGAAGTTGCTTAGGGCCTCATTAAGTTGCTGAGGCTGGCTTTGAACTCACAATCCTCCTATCTCAGCCTCCTGAGCTGTTGGGATTACAAGTGTACTCTGCTGTGACACAGCTTTATGGGGGGCTTCTCTGTATAAGAGTCTAGAGGTGAGTTTCTGTCTGTTTATAGGAGTGGTCTAAAAATACCAGCCACCTCATCTAGAAACCTTGAGGCCTGTGGGATGTTGTCTGCTTCCTTCTCAAGAGACTGAAGCCTCTAGTCTCCCAGGAGGGTTATCCTGGATGTAGATTCTTCCTCTGGGAGGAAGGGGATCCCTAGTCCCGGCTAATTAAAAATTGGGTCAATGTCAGATGACCTTGTAGGGTCACTGTGGGACAATTTACTCTTGGCAGAGTAGATATAATTAGTTCCCCAAGAGAAAAAAAATTATGAAAATGAATGGAAGCTCAGGAGAGAGGTTGGCAAAACCAGAGCCTTGGCTGGCTGACATGGTGCCTTTCTGTGAATCAGAAAAAAGCACTTCTTGGGACCTACACAGCCCTGTAGCACATGGCAGGACAAACATGCAGGGACTTTATGCAAAGAAAGGGTCTCTTGGTGCAGTTGTCATATAGCATATGAGTAGACAGATAGGATCTCAGCCACTGGGCTCCTAGGCTTCCCACCATGGTTCAAGGACACACACTGGACAACGCGGAGTCTCTACCTTGAGCAAATCTTTATCCAGTGGTAAATGAAGGAACCCAACGGGCAAATCCAAGTTGGAGAGCTTAGTCAGGAGACTGCAAAGCGTGACAAAATACCACTGAGAAAGGAGAGAGCTTCTGCAGGAAAATCAATGAAACAGAATGCTATAGGAAGTTGGAGAGGCTGAGGACTGAGAATAAGCTTTCAGATGTGGGAAACTGGCAATATCATAAACCACAGAAAACAAAACCAGCCAGTCCTAGAATACCTGGGTGCTAAGAGATGTTAAATTTTTTTTTTTTGTGTGTGTGTGTGTGTGTGTGTGTGTGTGTGTGTGTGGTGCTGGGGATTGAACCCAGGGGCTTGTGCATGCAAGGCAAGCACTCTACCAATTGAACTAGATCCCCAGCACAAATCCTTTGTATTTTTTTTTAAGTAAGGAAGCCCTATATTAACCTCTGATCTCTACTCTTTCATCCTCCCAACAGCCCTGAAACCAGTGGATCTACATTCCATATATCAGGTGGGGCCCCTAATGGCCGTGGAGACCACTCGGGGCATAGTGCTGCACTGGCGAGCCCACAGCTGGCCCCTGCGCTCCCAACGCACACCAGTGGCCTCCCTGCACTCCGTGGTCAGAGAGCTGGGGGGCCTGGCCGGGGGCCCCCACACCGTGGTGGTGCTGGGCCTGGGAGCCCACTTCACCACCTTCCCTCCATCCATCTTTGCAAGACGACTGGCAGGGATTCGAGCAGCTGTGATGGCCCTGCTGGAGCGGGAACCCAGAACCCTTGTGGTCATCAAACTGGCCAACACTGGCTATAAGTCTGTGTATGGCAGTGACTGGTTCACCCTGCACATGAACCGGCTCCTGCGATCTGCCTTTGCTGGTCTCCGTGTGGCCTTTGTGGATGCTTGGGAAATGACCTCCAGCCTGGCCCTGCCCGACAAGATCCACCCAGAGAAGCTCATTGTGAGCAATGAAGTGAACTTGCTCCTCTCCTTCATCTGTCCCACCTGAGAGCTACTGAGAGCTACTGTTGGCCTAGGTTGACAAAGGGCCTGGGCCACAGTTATGAAGAAAAACACAGCCATAATAAAGCTTTTGGAATAAGGGCAGATGCCATCAACTTCTTTCATAGCAAAACGTGATATCTTCCTAACTGATTCAGCCGATTCTATTCTTGCCCCACAACAACCTCTTCTCCACTCAGAATAAGAGTGATTTTTTATTAAATTCTTGTTTATTTGGTACCAGGAATTGAGCCCAGGGGCACCTTACCATTGAGTTACATACCTAGCCATTTTTGGTTATTTATTTTTCTTTTCTGGCAGGCTCTCACTAAGTAATTTAGGGTCTCATTAAGTTGCTGAGGCTGGCCTTGATCTTGCCATCCTCTAGCCTTGGCTTCCTGAGATGCTGGAATTACAAGTGTGTGCCACTGCACCTGGCAAGTGATTTTATATATATATATATATATAATTTTTTTAATGAGACATTAAAACAATAGCCTGCTCAAAAGCCAAGGATCTCCATTTTACTTAGTATACTAAGCCCTTTACAATGATCACCAAGGCCCTGCAAGATTGCTGTACCTAACTCTGCATTATCCATCCCTGGCCTTCACAGTCTGACCCCAGGGACTTAATGACGCTCAAGCAGGTTAAACTGTCCTGCCTCAGGGGCTTATACCTGCTGTTCCTGTGCTTGGAATTGCCTTCCCCCAGATCTTCATATGGGCAGCTTTTTTGTCATTCAATTCTCTTATCAAAATCTCATAGAGGTTTTTTCCTGACCACCAAAACTTAAGTAGCACCCTCTCTTCTCTCTGCTATTCCTTCCTCATTTTTTCCATATCACTAACTACAACCTATAATTATTTGGTTGCTACTACTATTGTGGTTGTCTCCTCAATAAAATGTGGTTTCCATGAAGGACAGAGGGTGTCTAGGTTGCTCACTGTTGTATCCTGTGATTTACAGCAGTGTTTAATGATGCAATGTTCAATAAACATCCCTTGAATGAATGAATCAGTTAATGAGTTAAAGTCAGGTGACTAAGGCGAGCTTCTCTATGTCCTGCACTTTTTCTCAGCAATCTGTACCCCAGGAGAAACAGGCAATTGGTCAAAGTGATCCCTTGTTGTATGGTTATCATTATTAACATTAAATAAGAAACATTCTTTTTACATTCAGGGACCTTCTACTTTTATTTTGGAGGACCCTCACAAGAACATTCTTGCATTTTCCCGAGGCCTGCCGAGGATTCACACATGTAGTTTGGTTGCAGAGATAGGCAGAGAGTTATATCCACAGTGATATTCCAGTGTCCTGAATGGATAATCTGTCTCCTGGAAGACTGGAAGTGACTGGCCTTGCCTGCTCGGATTCTGGCTGATCAGGTCTCTGGGTCTCATCCATGAAGTGTAGACTTGTCCTCTCCGCCCTCCGGTTCCTGGCTGCTGTTTCCACAACTCTTTCTTTCTGGTTGAGAGGCTTCCCTGACCACTCGAAAGGGGGCTCCGTGACCAGGCACCACCACGTCGGCGGTGCCCAGGACCCTCTTCCGACTCCGCTCCTGGGCCACTGGGTCTTCACTCAGCGCCTGCCACGAGTCCTCATCCCCGTCACGCTCAAACACATCTCCGGCCACCACAACGGTGCCCAGGGCCGTGCCCTTCACCACTACGCTCACGTCCCGCTGGCCCCCGTGGCCCGGCGTGGCCCACACCTCGAGCCCAGGTCCTAGGCGCAGGGGCCGCCCCTCAGTCAGTCCGTGGGGCAGGTAGCGGCCCCCTGGCAGGCAGAAGTCGTGCGAGACCAGCAGAGCAGCCCCCGGAAACAGCCCCAGATTTCCGATATGATCCGAGTGCCCGTGGGTCCCCACCACCAAAGTCACGTCTCCGGGGTCCACTCCCTGCCCCGCCAGGACGCCCAGCAGCGCCTCCCGAGCCCAGGGGCCCCCAGTATCCACGAGGATGGGGCCACGGGCCGCCTCCTCCAGGGCGGTCTCCGCGCTGCCGGCCGCGGGCGGGGACTCTTGGTGACTAGAGCCCCGGCCCCAGGCCTGAGGCAGCACGAGGGTCACGGAGCCGTCCGCTCGCACGGCATCGCCCACCTCCTCTGGCTCCGCGTAGCCTCGCAGCAGAACCACCACGGAGTAGAGGTCGCCAGGCACCAGCAGAGGAGGCGCCCCGTGCAGCGGCTCGGTCCGCACTAGGTTGCTCATGGCAGGGGAACCACGGGCTGGCGAGAAATGAAATGTGGCTGTGGGCGAACGCCTCCAGGTTCTCAGCTCTGCCACCAGCCAAGCGGCACCTTGGCTCTTTGACACCCCTCCCTCTTTTTTTTTTTTTTCTTATTATTCCTCCGTGAACAGATTGCAGAGTCACGTTGATTATACAGCCACGTTTACACCTACTGCCAAACAAGTGTCTGTTGTATTCTGCTGCCTGCCCTTCCTATCCCCCCTCTCCTCCCCTCCCCTCTCCCCCTCTTAAGGTGGCATCGCCCTCCACTCCCGGCCGACCGTGGTACTGCTCGGCCTTCTTTCTACGCGACCCCGCCCCAATAGTCTCCAGGTAAGTCCTCAACTGTCACCTTTCAGAGGACATCGTTTTATCCTTCCCTCTAACCCTACCCTTTCTCTACCTTGAACCTAATCGTAGCGCCTAGCACAGAACTTCCTAAACGAAGCACAGAAATCGGAAAAACGCGTGGTATTTTGTCCTCTGCGGGCGTCCGTAGCTCAACTATGGTGGCCGAATCGGCACCACACACGTAACTTTTAGTTCCAGTGCTTCCCGCAACCTGCAGAGGCTGCTTGGATTTCAGTCTCCCTACAGTTCTCTATCTTGCGACCCCTGCCAGCTTCCTTGGGCTGCAGAATTACCAAGCGCCATTAGCTGCTAATGGCGAGGCCAATGGCCCCATTGTCTGTACGCTGCCTCATTGACAAGCTACAATGTGTGCAGAGTCGTTTGAAACTGGGCCCAGACGATAGTAAAAAAAAATAATAATAAAATAAGTAAGTTTAATTGCGATATAGAAAATTTGGCACCCGTGAAGTTACGGAATAGATCAAGTAATTACCCCCACCTAACTTATCATTGCCTCACTGCCACTTACTGTCATAGTCTAGTTCACTGCTTGCTAGTATGTAGCCTCCTGGGTGAGGTCATAGAGAATGTTCTAGCCTCTTTCTTATAAGGGTCCAAAAACAGATCTCTTGAGGGGCATAGTGACTTTCTCAAGGCCCGTAACTCCATGCCATCGCTGACTGTCTTTAAAGAGGAAAGCTCAATGCTGTCACCACACACACCTGCCATTTAAGTGGTTGGATGGCAGGCAGAAGGCTCATATGTGTTGGAAGGACTTCCTCCTACTGCTCCCCCATTTTCCCCATGGTCATGTCATCCTGCATTCCCAAGATCCTCCCTGAGGTCATTTGGGAAAAAGCCTTGGGGTGGGATCACTCATACACACACACACCCTTCAAGCTGTGGGGTAGGGAAAGCTGAGACTTAAGAGGGTTCTTCTCCATGACCCCTCCTGGGGGCTCAAAGGCAAGGGTCAGAGATCCTCTGGGTCACGCTTGGGGTGGCCTGAAGTCTTGATTCTCTCCTCCTCCTCCTCCTCTTCTTCTTCCTCCTCCTCCTTTTCTTCTGCATTCTCTTGTCCATCTGTGATCTTCTCTTTTCCAGTCCAAGTTTCCTGAAGACATGCTAGGTGGGATTAAGAGAAAATAATTTAAATATTGGTTCTGGTAATAAGGAGGTTGTTGCCTGGCAGGCGAGGAGCCCAACCCCTACATTTACCTGTTTCAGCAGCTGGGAGCACATGACCTTCACAGAGAAACTGCTGTAGGGGCTGCTCCTGATGGTGGAAGTACCAGTCTCCTACAACATCTTCAAACTCTTCCAGCATCGTCTCACACTGGTCAAGTGGAATGGCGGAAAGAACATCTGCTCTGCTGGGCTTTGGACACTTTCCTCTCGGCTCTCCACTCCCTATTCCCTACTCCACTGATTGGCCTCTCCACTGAGAGACAGGTAGCCAGGAGGTTAATCTTGGCTTACATCTATATATGATATATTTCATTCAACCAATATTTAACTAGCACCTATTCTGCTAAGTGGGTTGGTAAGCTGTGAGATGGGTAAGGTGATCATACCTACCACATCAGGTTGTGAGAGTAAATGAGGCAGCAGCTAGAAAGTATGTGGTCCAGAATCTGGAACATAGTAGGTGCTCAATAAGCAGTGGCGGATAGTAATAGTCTCCAATATTATTTGATATTCTATTGGACCCACTTTAATTGATGGCAAAGTCCTCATTCTGCCCCCTTCTTCCTGCTGAGAGCTGGACATCCCCTACAATCAAATCCTGGGACCAAGCTCTCCTCTCACCTCCCTGGACTGTGTGGTAATTTGTCTTACCTGCTTCTTTAAGAATGTAACCTCCACGCTGGGCTCATCCCACAGTTCCAATGGGATCCCCAGATCCACCTTCACTCCCTTCTGCACTAGGCCTTTCAATGTTGCCATGGTCTGACTCTGACCCTGAAAGATGGAGATTTGGGATCAGAGCAACCATCCCACCTTTTCCTTTCCTTTTTCACCATAATAGCTTTGTCAACACAAGAGGTTCAGGGATGAGTTCCATGAGGAGGGTGAGAGAGCCTGAACAAGAGGGGACTCTAGAGGTGGAGGGAAACGGGCAGATAATTCTTGAGGATCTCAGGGGACACAGGTCTTTGTTTCTGAGAATTAGAGTCTTTCCCTAATTAAGAATCTCACCTTGGCATATCTCAGTGATCCCTTGCGCTCAGCATGAACACTGTAATCCAGGATCCGCTCACATAAATTCTCCAAGGCCTCTTCCAGCCTTGTCTCTCTGTGGGGAGAAGGGAAACAAAGACTCCCTGGATGCTGCAGGGGCTTCCAGAGCTCTTTGGTGGACTGGAAGGTGAAGGAGCACCAAGAAGGACTCACGAAATGCTGTAAGGCACATGTCTCCTCCTCTTGCCTGTGTCCAGGACCTGCCCCAGCTCCAAGACCTCTCGAGATCGGCCAGTGCGACTCAGTTCCTCCTGTAGCTCCATGCTTAGTAGCTTACACACTGGTAGTGAGGAGAGATGTCCAAGGGGATACAAAAGAAGAGTGAACATGCCAGCAGTTCATTCTGCAGATGACCAAAGGCAGCAGAGGACGAAGTGCAGACTCTGGAGCCAGACTGACTGGGTTGGAATTCTGACTCAGCTTCTCCATATCTGTGTGACAATCTTGCTGTGTCTCAGTTTCTTCACCTCTATAATGGGGATAATACTATGTCCATGACAGGAGTGTGGTGAGAACTAAATAAATAAACCTATGCAAAATCTCTGGAATAGCTCTGGCTCACAGTGTTTACTGTTACTCTGCAGTTATTTATTGTGTTCCTTCTGTATCCACGCTCATGACAGATCAATAAGATTCATGATCTTTGTCTCTGAGACACTGTCAATGTAGCTGGAGATGGATAAATGGATGATGACAATATGGCACGATGAACCCTACGCCAGGGTTAAGACCAAGAGATTTAATCTCACTAGGAAATGCAAAATCCATTCAAAGGTTACTTAATGACTTCCTACAAATCTTTGATTCTCATAAGGGTGAGCAACATGTCTATTCCACTACTAGCATATACTTGGCTCATGATAGTTCCAAAGAAAAAAAGGGGGCCCAGCTGGGCATGGTTGTGCATGCCTGTGATCTTGATGTCTCAGGAGGCTAAGGCAGAAGGATCACAAGTGTGAGGCCAGCCTCAGCAGCCTCAGCAAGGCCCTACGCAACTTAGCAAGACACTTTCTTGAAAAAAAAAAAAGAGAGAGAGAGAGGGAGAGATGGGGGCATAGTTCAGTGGTAGAGGGCCCTAAGTTCAATACCCAGAACTAAAACAAAACAAAACACAAAAACCATACATAGATGACAAGTAACCTAAACAGGCAAAAATAACAACATTTCTTTAAATGTACCCAGCACTCTGCTAGAATCTGAGATACATAGGTACTCCCCCTTTCCTCCAAGGGTTTATGACTGCAGGAGGTGACAACTGAGGAAGAAGGCTTCCAAAGGAGGTGATATTTAAACTGAACCTTGAAGAATGAATAGGAACTTATCAAATACAGAAAGAGGGCCATTTTGGGCAATGAAAAACAGCAAAGTCCCAGAGGTGTTAGAGGATGTGCAATACTCTGATCATGAGAAGTTCAATGTCTGAAGTGGAAATACTAGCCAAATATGTTGTTACATTGTGTGAATGTGTGAATATGTAACTACAAATCCCACCATGATGTATAATTGTAATGCATCAATAAAAATGGGGGACTGGGGCGGGAGGAAATTCAGTGTCTGAAGCATGGGCACTTTAGGGATGAGGATGAGGTATAGGAACTATGAAAGTCACATCATATAACAATTACATGCTCTGCCAAAAAAATGTTGCCTGGATGCTGATCATAGTAGAAGGCCTGCAGGGTTGTTAAAGCAAAAACTTCCAAGATTAAGTCTGTGCTTAGAAAGACAGGTGTCAGGAGAAAGAAGAGTGGGGACATAAGTAAAAACAGGCAAAAGATTAGAACCAAGTCATGAGGGACACTGATGTGGAAATGCAGAGACTGTGTGTGTGAGGTGAAGAGAAAAAGAATGGGGGTGGGGTGGGGGACAAGCCAACAAGGCAACAAACCAGGGAAGCAGGGCACTCAATGACAAGGCTCTGAAGTGTCCCTCTCATTAATGCAGCCAGGGAAGATGCTGCTTGATGCAAAATCTTTACAGTACACACTGGCTGCAAAGCTTCCCATTGACTGGGAACTTAGAGTTGTTTGGCCTCCCCACATTTTGTTATGAGCTTTAAAGGCTGAGTTACTCATCCTCAAACCTTCTGGGGGAGGATGGGACCTGTAATTTGGAAGCGTCTCTGCCGCAGGGACAGAGGAAGTTCACAAAGTATAAGAATCACACCCCGCCCCTGAAGGCTCTCCAGATTTAGGTCTGGTGGGTGACATGGGGGGAACACACGCACATTGAAGATGATCGGTTGAGTGGGCGGTCCTAGGCAGACAATCCCTGAACTACAATTTCCACAACTCACTGGGGCCCACGCCTGCAAGAAAAAGTGGTTTCTCTCTGGGAGTTTAATGGAAAATGTAGTGCCACAATTTCGCGTTGGACGTAGGCGTTCCCTCCCTGGATCCTATTCCAACTCCGCCAAATTCCAACAGAACCTCACTGGGGGTTCAAGGAGGTCGAGTGACCCATCCATCACGGTACGTGTGCCCGGGCCTAAACGGAGGAGGAGGGACAGGGAGATGCTAATAGAGGCTACTCCCAAGATACCTTCGCATTTGCTGGGCAAGCGTTCTGTGTCATCGTCCACTTCTTTCGGCGTCCCAGCCCAAGCACCAGTCACTGTCAAAAAGAAAAG